CACTCTGTAGACCAGGCTGGCCTCAAACTCACAGAGATCTGCCTGTCTCTGCCTCCCAAAGGATGTGACACCACCACTCAACTTAAAATTCAGACTTTCAAACAGCTTTAAGACCAAAACACTGGGGAGTTTTGAAGGTGGACTGTATGCATTTTTGCATTATGATATGTCCGTGAGTCAATGGGGGGTAGAAAGTGGTTCAAATAAGAAATCTCCTATAATTGTCAGGCTTTCGAATACTTGGTCCCCAGTTGGTGGGAAGTTTGTGACGTCGTCGGAGGTGTGGCTCTGCTAAGGAAGTGTGTCACTGGGACAGGCTTTTGGGTCTCAAGAGGCACTCGGTCTTTCTGTCCTGATGTCAGTTTGAGATGTGAGCTCTAGGCTCTTCTTGTTTTTTTATAAGTTGCCTTGGTCCCCATGTTGATCACAGCAGTAGAAAAGTAACTAATACTGACATCATGAGCCTTGTTCCATTTCTTTAAATAACCTTGAAGAGTTTAGCTACATTTTACAATTTTAAAAACTGGAGTTTATTGGGAGGCAGAGGCAGGCGGATCTCTGTGAGTTCGAGACCAGCCTGGTCTACAGAGCTAGTTCCAGGACAGGCTCCAAAGCCACAGAGAAACCCTGTCTCGAAAAATCAAAAAATAAATAAATAAATAAATAAATAAAAATAAAAACTGGAGTTTAGAGGTCAGCTTCTGCCGGGCAGTGGTGGCGCATACCTTTAATCCCAGCACTCGGGAGGCAGAGGCAGGTGGATCTCTGTGAGTTCGAGGCCAGCCTGGTCTACAAGAGCTAGTTCCAGGATGGGCTCTAAAACTACAGAGAAACCCTGTCTTGAAAAAGCCAAAAAAAAAAAAAAAAAAAAAAAAAGGTCAGCTTCTACCTACTAATTGTAATTAACAGAGTCACTCAAATCCAGCCGGGGAGGGGGATCCTACTCCTGTTAGCCTACTATCCTACTGCGGTTCCCTCTGCGGTGGTGCCTCTGTAGGCTGTGTGTACCTTCACCGAACATCCTTTCACTAAATGGGTTTTGACAAAGTAACACATGCAGGTGACTGGGGCTGTGCTTCCTGCACTGAGGAGGCTCCTCTACCCAGTGGCAGCTTCCCTGGATCCAGCCGGAGGCATGAAGGAAGTGGCTTTGACCCTGCTGCCCCTGCTTACTGGGAAGCCTGTTTCCAAAGCCGCCTCTCCTAAGTGTTCGGGCCCCAGGCCCAGAGGAATTAGAGAGCTCCCAATGTTAGTTCAGCGAACCTCCCCAAGAGCAAGGCAGATTAGAAAGAGCCTTGATGGTCGGGTTTTGGAGTTGACGTTGACACAAACCAGTGGGATACTTAAGGGTCTTTCCTACTCATGCATGTGTGCCTGCTTTGTGTGACACTATCCTTTGCTTGGGCACCCACAGGATAATAAGTGAACCTGTTCCGAGGCACATATCTCCGTCGTATCAGCACCTGGCAAGATTTATCTGATAGCACAGACCTGGAATAAATTTTGACCTTCCTCATCTCTCTCGCGTTTCCTCTGTTCTAGTTCCCTTCCACGGCTGTGATAAATGCCGTGAATGTGGGCAGTTTAGACGGTAGAGAGGTTTATTTGGCTCTCACTTCCTGATCACAGCACTCACTGGGGGAAATCTGGGAGTATAGAAGCAGAATTTAAAGGAGTAACCACAAAAGGAGTACTGTCTACTGACTTCCTCACAGGCTCACCTGCCCCAAGAACAGTGTCGCCCACAGTAGGCTGAGCCCCCCTCTTCAGTTAACAGGTCCCCCACATTCATGGTCACAGCCAGTCCTATGTGGACAGTCCCTCAAATGTGACTGGCCTGTAAAGTTGACAGTTAACAGACAGCTGACTAGGACACCCCACCCTTGTCAGCCCCACGCAGAAACACGTCCCTTTAAAACATAACCTTGTCTCAAGTTCTTAGTATCACAGTACAAAACACACTATAGCTATAAAAAGCCAAAGCCTCTTAACTCGGGGATCCTGTAAAACTAAGAAGTTTCCTACTTATTCCAAAAAGGAAGAACCAGGCCATAAAAATGATTAGATCAAAACAAAAACAAAGCCCAGCAGTGTAAGTCAGAAATCGTGTAGCTCACTCTCTGACAACTGGAACTCACACATTGTGTAGTCTTCCAGCTCTAACAGGCTTGGGCAGTCCCACTTCTCCAGCTCCGCCGTCAGCAGCAAGCACAGCTCGTAGGTTTGAGCTGGCTCCTCTCATACCAACTGCTTTCCTGGCATCGTCTCTGATATCCAGGGGTCTCCACTGCACCTGAGGCTGCACTTTCACCAGTGGCCTCTGATGCTTGCCTGGCATACCAGACTTCAGCTACCCTCCATGACGGCCTCACGCCTTCAAAACCAGTTCCACCCGAACAACACTTAACATACTGTTTGCCAAGTTCTACTGCAAATGCAAAATACAGCCTGCCTCCCATGGACCAGCTCTTCGCTCTCACTGTGAAGAAATAGTTCTCTGTTGTCTCCAAGACGTTCAGAAGACCTTACTTCAATGGTGCTGATCTTTCATTGGTCACAGTGGGGTTTCTGGCCCCAGCCCACCCAGCATCCCAACATTAACCTGTCAGTACTATTGATCTTGTTAGTCACTGTTGATTCTTCAACACCAGATCATCAGTGTGCACACATTTTTTTAATCAAAGTATCACGCTTACACCCCCTACCATCACACCTCAATATTGCCTTTGCTATTCTCTGAAGCCCCACAGGACAGGCCTCCATTGTCCCGTGTTTCTCTAAGCATTCTTAGCTTCCAAGATCCCACAAAGGGTGACCCATTAAGTTTGTAAGTACTCACCAGGAGGAGGCAGGCCAGTCTCATGAGTTCAAGGACAGCCAGGGCTACTTAGACAAACCCTGTTTCCAAAGGGGCGGGTGAGGGAAACTTCCATATAACGTATATCTCCTCTTCTTATCATGGAGCCTGGCCACCCAGGTCACAGCAACCCTGCTCAGTCACCTGAGGGGATGGTGGAAACCATCTATAGCCCTTTTGCCATGAGCCAGTACTGTTTTTGCGCTTAGAAAACCAACTTGTCTTTCCCAGGCCTTGCTGCTGGGCCTCTCTGCCCATTGAGCTAACTACATGTTGAGACAGATGGTCCTTGGCATGTCTAAGATGAACTCACTGTAATGATAACAATAAAACAGCGCAGTTCCCTGAGTGGCGGCAGCGGGGCAGCCAGTCCCATGAGGAGCCATGGCAGGTGAGAGGCAGAGATGGATAGGAATGTCCTGCAGAGAAAGTGGGTGTTTATTTAGTGGGTTATGGAGGGGAAAGGGGAGAAGGGGGAAGAACAGAGAGAAGGAGAAACAGAGGGTACAGGGAGAAGAGAAGAGAAGCTACCTCTTCAAGAGAGAGCTGGAAAAGAAGGAGCTTGGGCTGGAAGGGAAGAAGAAAGGAAGATCTGCTTGCCTTGGTGGGAGGGGGGAGTGGGTGGGGCTTGTCTCTTAAAGAGACAGGACAGACCATTATACTCATTACTGGAAAACCATGAGTGTTGGTCCATACCTCTGATCCCAGCCCTTGGGAGGTTATAGTTCAAGACTTTTCTTTGGCCACCAGCTCACAAATAAAGACAAGGAGAGTAATTATTAATTATGGAAGGAAGCTTGGCCGATAGCTTAGGCTTATTCCTAAATAGCTCTTATACTTACATTAGCCCATTTATATTAGTCTGTGTTCCATTACTTGGTGTTACCTCTCTTCCATCTTTCACCTCCTGTTTCCTCTCCTTGTCTCCTGGCCACCCCCAAGTGCCTTGATTATCTCTTCCTACTTACTCTCTCACCTTGAAGTCCTGCTTATACCTCCTGCCTAGCTATTGGCCAGTTCAACTCTTTATTAAACCAATCACAGCAGTATATCTTGACATAGTGTACAGATACTCCACAAGAGGTCATCAGAAGGTCAAGCCACCGTGGGTGGCTAGTCAGTCCGCTAGTCAGTCCGCTGGGGCTAGAGAGATGGCTAAAAGGTTAAGACTATCCACTGCTGCTCCTAGCACCCAGCTCAGGTGCCTCACAAGATCCAAGGAATCCAGTGCCCTCTTCTGGCCTCCATGGGCACCTGCACTCACACACATATTAGAAATGAAATAAGTGAGGTGTGGTGACACATACCTTTTTTTTTTCTTTTTAAGTGCATGTATGTGTATTTTGTGTGTATGTACATGTGCCTTGTTTGCATGTGTGCCACATGCATGCACGTGTCCGTGGGGGCCAGAAGAGGGCATCATATCCCTGGAATTGGAGTTACAGGCAGTGGAGCTGTCGGATATGGACGCTAAGAGTCCAACCTGGGTCTTCTGCAAAAACTGCAAGTGTCAAGCCTGGCAGTGGTGGTCCACGCATTTAATCCCCACACTCAGGAGGCAGAGACAGGTGGATATCTGTGAGTTCAAGGCCAGCCTGGTCTGCAAGAGCTAGTTCCAGGACAGGCTCCAAAGTTACAGAGAAACCCTGTCTCCAAAAAACAAAACAAAACAAAAACCCTACAAGTGTGCTTCACCACTGGGCCATTTCTCCAGCCCCCAACATACACCTTTAATCCAGCATGGGGGAGGTAAAGGCAAACCTGAGTTCCAGGCCAGCCAGGGCTCCATAACCAGACCCTATCCCAGATAAATGAATAAAGGAATGAATCCTTAAAGAGGGATTGGAAGGTCCAGGAAGATGCCCCAGCCAGGCAACAGATGGTGTTTGGATAGTGTGTTTTGTCCTTGTTTACTTACTTGTGTGTGTGAGCATGAGAGTGTGCATGCTTGTTCGTATGTACTTGTGTGTGCCATGGCAAGTGCGGAAGTCAGAGGACATCCTTGCAAGTCTCTTCTCTCCCCTGTAGGTCCCAGGTGGTCAAGGCTTGCGCACTTAGCACTTCCACCTGCCGAATCACCTGGCAGGCCCTGCTGGGTTTTTGTTTCGTTTTAATGAAATCTTCATTGCTTCTCTCCAAACAGACAGCCACAGACAGTTCTTCTAATTCCTCACAGAAGAGGGAGCAGCATACAAGAACAGTCTCCTCCCCCACGTCCTGTGAGCACCGGAGGATTTATACCCTTGACCCATACCCTGTGGACCATTACCACCCCGACCAGGTGAGCAGAGGACAGCTCCGCACTGGCCTTCTCCCTCCTTCTCCCCCGCATGACCCACGGCCATGGTGGAAGTCCAGGTGGTAGCCCCTTGCCTCACTCCCCCTGTGTGTACAGCTCTGTCTGCTTCTATCCAGATCTCCCCATGAGGCGGGGCATCAGCATCTCTGGTTTAGAGCTGTGGGGTGCCTAGGAGAAGGAGGTCCAGGCCCACGGAGTACTTGGACAGGGTGTGGGACTCCCTCTGTTCCTCCATCCAAAGGACCTTGCTGTGAAAACACAGGGTCCAGTCAAGGAACACTGCAGACTTGGTCCGCACCCCCGGCATGCGGGCTGCAGGCCCAGTCTTGCTCAGGGAGATGTAACTGCAGTCTGAATTCAATAATTCAACACATATGTACTGAGTGGCTCTTTTCTAAAACAGGTTCTCAAATCATGGGAAATAGACAGGTGCCCCTGTGGGTTATGTGGCCTCTGGGCTTGTAGTAGGAGGCCGCTTGTTTGTTCCCAGCTTCTCAGCCCCGAAACAACCACACAGAAACCATATTATTTGCAATACTGTTTGGCCAGTAGCTTAAGCGTTTTTCTGGCTAACTCATATCTTTTAACCCATATCCATTAATCTGTGTATCGCCACGAGGCTGTGGCTTACCAGCTAAAGTCCCTGGTCTGTCTCTGGCAGGACTACATGGTGTCTCCTGACTCCGCCTTCTTTCTCCCAGCATTCAGCCTAGCTTTCCCTGCCTAGTTCTGTTCTGCCCTGCCATAGGCTCAAAGCAGTTCTTTATTAATCAGTGGTATTCACAGCGTACAGAGGGGAATCCCATATCATTGGCTGACTTGAAATGAAAAGAAGCAAGCACTGGGCAGCGAGATTTTGCTTCATTTTTGTTGCTGTTTTAAGATGGTTTTACTATGCTATGTGCTTCTTAATATTTTGATATCAAAGTGTGTTTTGGTTGTCTTGTTTTTTTAAACTGGACATGGTGGCATAAACCTGTAGTACTGAATTTGGGAGGCTGAGGTAGGCCAGCCTGGGCTACGTGGTGAGTCCCAGACCGAAAATGAGATTCCCATCTTAACAAATGAAAAAAACTCAACAACAGAATATTCCATTTTAAACTAGGACTGCAATCCCAGCACTTGGGAGGTGGTTGTTGTGTGATCCAAATACATTGAGGGGGAGGGGGCAGTGGGATGGGAGGGTCTGCCTAAGAGTGGTAGATAGTGGTCAAGGTGGATAGTCAGGACAGCAGGAGCCTGAAGCACCTGGCCACAGTGTATCAGCAGCCAGGAGAATGCCTGCACCTGGCTGACCTTTGCCTTTATATACAGTCCAGGATTCCAGCCCTGCAGTAGATAAGGCTCCTCAATTAGCTTTATCAAGGTATTCCCCTGAAGGCTGTCTCCCTAGTGACTCAGCAGGTTGATCATTGAGATTAACCCTCAAGGGTGCTTGTAGGATTCCAATCTGGAATCTTCTTATCTTTCTCACTTTTGCGCACCTGTGATTTCAATCAGATAACACTTATGACACAGGCTAGTGGACTTTGTACTTTCTTTTTTCCTCCCTACCCCCACCTTAGGGAGTGATGGCTCAAACCTTAATCCCAGGCAGAAGTACACAGATCTCTGTGAGCTCAAGGTTAGCCTGGTAGAAGAGCTCACCTCTAAATAAATAAGCATCTGGCACACTGTATAAAAATGTACAGAACTGCTGTACTCTGTTCAAGGTCCACTCAGCACAGGGCACCCTGAGCGCAGCTGACCTGAGTGAGGGATAGGAGGTGAGATTTGTAAGGCAGGGCCTCTTTTTCCTCTACATGGGAATGCTGAACTCACCCGACTGTACTCCTTTACGAGCCAGACTCCATAGCCCAAGCTAGCAGAGAACTCACTGTGTTGCAGAGAAAGTCCTTGAATACACTGATCTCCTGCCTCCGCCTCCCAACTGCCGGGGTTAAAGGGGTGGTCTCGGCACCTGGTCTATGGGATGTTGAGAACTGCTTAACTTCAGGGCTTTCTACTTGCTTGGCAAGAATTCAACAGCTGAGCTCAAACTGCTCTTAGGGTGGGCAAACCTTCCAACGAAAACCGTAGAATTTCGGGGCTCTGCTCATAATTGAGGCTCATCTGGGAGTGAGTGACAAGCTGTCCGTAAAAGGTTGTCAGCTTTCTCCGAATCCTTGAAGGAAGGAAGGGCCGGTAGATCTTTCTCTGATGGCTGACTGTGGAGCCTCCGACTGTAACAGTCTCTGGTTTTTCCCTGGACAGCGGCTGCCGAGGTCCTACCCCCAGGTCACCTTCCCGGAGGACGATGAGGAGATTGTGCGCATCAATCCTAGAGAGAGGATCTGGATGACCAGCGGCTATGAGGATTACCGGCATGCGCCTGTGCGCAACAAATTCCTGGATACCGCGGAGGACGCGGACTCCTATGTGCGCTTTGCCAAGGGCGAGGTGTCCAAACACGACTACAATTACCCCTATGTGGACTCCACAGACTTTGGCTTCGGCGAGGATCCTAAAGGCCGTGGTAGCAGCGTTATCAAGACGCAGCCAGCCAGGGGCAAGTCCCGGCGGCGCAAGGAGGATGGCGAGCGCTCCCGCTGTGTGTATTGCAGGGACATGTTCAACCACGAGGAGAACCGGAGGGGCCACTGCCAGGATGCCCCCGATGCCGTGAGAACTTGTATCCGCCGCGTGAGCTGTATGTGGTGCGCAGACAGCATGCTCTACCACTGTATGTCGGACCCCGAGGGAGACTACACGGACCCTTGCTCGTGCGACACTAGCGACGAGAACTTTTGCCTCCGGTGGTTGGCATTAATCGCCTTGTCCTTCCTGGCCCCCTGTATGTGCTGTTACCTTCCCCTTCGGGCCTGTTATCACTGTGGAGTGATGTGCAGGTGCTGCGGCGGGAAGCACAAAGCCGCTGTGTGACTCGGTTTCCTGCTCTCCCCGTCTCACGGCCACAGCCACAGGGAACTTGTCTCTTGCATACCCCACCCCACATCTTCTCCCCAGGCTTTCCTGGTCTCTAACAACATCATTCCAAACCTGGGGAATCTACCACTCCTGTGTCAGCCACATAACCCATTCGTTCGCTCGCAATGTTCTGAGAAGGGGAGCCTTCTCATAGACTTGTGTTATGTTATCAGCCTGTGATCGCGCCGTCTTATCCACGTGTTGATTTCCTGTCCTGCCTCCCCACCTCTTCCAGTTCTAAGGAACGTTCAGTAGAAACGTAGATTCGGAGGGGTTTAGAGTTGATTTTTCCTCTGTGATCCGGTTTGCCTGTCGCTAACAAGCACAGGTTCGTCGGAGATGTGACCGAATGGTGAGACCCTACCGTAAGTGTTGTAACCTGCAGTGTGTTGTAACTTCGGGAGGTGAGCAGAAAAACTAAACAATAATAGGGCTTTAACTCCGAAAGCCAAATGCCCGCAGCTACTGCGGTTTCTGTCTTTTCAACCATCAGTTTCTGTCTTTCGACCATCGTCATCTTCTGCCCCTCCCCCACCTGTTGAATTCATTCACTCATGCAAAGCAGTTACCTTTAAAATGACTTGAGAATTGAGCCTTAACTTCAGATTAACTTGTGAGAATCAGGAAAAAATTCCTCAAATTGCATTGCATCCTCTTAGACCAGGGTTAGAAAGGGGATTTTGGGTTTTTATGAGCCTGCCCAGTTTACCCCTAAAATAGAACTTTTTTTTAAAATTATATTACCACTTCTAAAAACCTTAGCAATATTAGAATAACACATCAATGAAATAAATTTTCCTCATTGTTTCGCAAACCAAATACATTTATTCAAACACAAACCAGTGTTCTGTGATCAAGTTCCAGTTGAAAAACACTAGAAGTTGTGGTAGATAAAATTATAGCCACTCCCCGCCCTCTGCAACTGTTTTCTATTATTCAGGGGGAACTTTAAGTACCATAAAATTTGTGGTGCCTTGCGTTTTGTTTTAGGCTTAACGTTTTGGTTTTAATTTGGGGCTCGATTCATTTATACTTAGGAAAAAACAAGGCCATATGTAAAAACCCTTCCGATGCCTAAGTGTCTTCTTTTCTCCTACAGCTCCTCACCCACACTTGCCGCTTGGGGTGCACAGATAAGGGTAGATCACCAACCGATTCTACCTATCGCTGAGCCACATAAGAGGCTTCTAATTTGCTAGAGGAAGAAAAGGAACAACATATATATATATATATATATATGTATATATATATATACATATATATATATATAATGTTGTAAGGAATAGCCAAATCTTGAAGAAAAAGGAAACGTGAAAGTGGTTACCTATACCTAGCATAGTACAATCAGAACTTTGTGGGGACCATAAGGGACATGCTCATTGCCGCTGACTGTTCTTCCCGCCAAGATCTTTCCGTGGTAATCACCAGCGGAAGGCAGGCCCAGTCCCTTCTACTTCTTCCTTCTCCCTTTATTGCACACAGGATATCAGTCTTCAAGGAAAAGGACTTTTTTCCAGTGTGTTGGTCATACTGGGAAAACGCTAGCCACTCTTACCGTTGCGGCAGTGTGTTCTTCCGCTGGCCTTGACAGCCTGTCTTGTTTCTGTAGACGGATTGTCAGTTAGCTCTTTGGCGTGCTTCTGAGTTAGTTGGTAGATGTTTTCCTTTGCTGGGATGACTGGTTGGGACTATCTGTTGTACAGAAGGTGCAGAGAACTACCATCATTGTCGATGGAGGGGTCTCCAGGCCAGGAGACCTAGACTGCCTCCAACCAGCCTCCAGTGCTGTGGAGAAACTGCCTGTCCTCGGCCTTTTCTCCAAGGCACCTATCTGCAAAGCACAACACTAATCTCTTCCTCAGACCTCAGTTCAAGTGCCCCTATTTATTTCACTAAGAACCCAGATCCCAGTTGCTTCACGTTGGTTGCCTTTGGCATTCTTCCTTCTTTCTCTCCCCCACCCCCTTGCTCATTTCCTCCCTTCTTGAGAGTTACGCTAGCAGATCTTACTCCGTGCACCATTTTTTTGGTTTGTGAAGGCAGCGGTTAAGGGCACAAAGACAGCCGTGGGGACGCCGATGTAAATATGTTCAATTGCCACACTGCAGCTGAACGGTGTGGAGTGTTTTCCCAGTCAGCTTTGCCATGCTGGTGTCAATCATTTGAGAGAAATTATTCAGATTTTATTTTTGTATCTGTGGTAACAAAACTTAGCCAAAAGGTTTCCTGTTCAGAAGTTTCCCTGACTTCCCCCTTCCCCCCCCACCCAAGCTATTTGCTCTCATTAACAAATTAAAGTGCCTGAAGCCTAATTCATTCACCTGTATACTAAAACCCCTGTTGTATTGATTTTTATAAGCCTTTTTACCTCTGTAAAAATATACATACATATATATATATATACAAGTGTATGATGTACATTTTAGTTCTTAACTTTTTTATGGTTTCTAATATGTATGACCAATGTAGCCATTGCTTTCAAATGTACCATGTAAATATAAACACATCCTATGAGACCGTTCGCTGTGGGTATTTGTCTGGTCTGACTGGAGTCCTCGCACGGGATGGGCTGAGGTTTCTTTGGCAGCACACGAGGATGTGGATCTGTTTGTCCTTCCTGCCTCTGGTTGTGTGTCCCTTCCATCCACAGGAAGAATGCCCTTTCCTCCCCTCCTGTCTTCCCTACAAGTACTCGTCAGAGAGAGGGCTGTACTTTCTCTGAGCTGTTTCCTACACATCCTTGCTAAAGCCCCAACAGAGGGCATGGGGTCAGGAGACAGTTCTCCGAAGACTTGGTTCCAAGTCTGCTCTTGGCCCACTTTCCAAATGGATCTCTTGGATGCCACAGAGCTACAGTGGCAGTCCCCAGGAGAATATAAAATAGATGTTTGAGGGTTATAAAGAAAATGACTAGCCGGGCGATGGTGGCGCACGCCTTTAATCCCAGCACTCGGGAGGCAGAGGCAGGCGGATCTCTGTGAGTTCGAGACCAGCCTGGTCTACAGAGCTAGTTCCAGGACAGGCTCCAAAGCCACAGAGAAACCCTGTCTCGAAAAACCAAAAAAAAAAAAAAAAAAAGAAAGAAAATGACTTCTCCATAGAACGGTAAAGAAGTGTACAGACTTCCCATCCTTGTTCTGATGTTCACCAGAAGTGGGGGGCACTTTTCTAAGCCCCTGGCAGAGGTCAAATACAAGATGGGTGCTAAAGGTTAGGTAATGGGGGACTCTGTGCCCCCTCCCTGAGAGCTGGTGTGGGAGGAGACATTGTAAGACCTCACTTGACCTTCACCATCCTGGCGTTTTACAGATAAGACACCAAAGCTAAGAATGGGAGCTAAGGTGACCCTACAGTCAGAAGGCAGGGCCTGGTCAGGCTGTCTAGTGACAAACCCCAAGTTCTTAAAGGGCCTTGTCCCAAGCTTCTGGGTCCATCCCTGCTTCAAAAGTGAGCCGGGACTAACTAGGCCACTGCTCAAATTGCCTCAGGAATGGCACACGGACCAGGTACCGGAACTAGACTGGCTATGAGTCTCATTTTTAGTCTCTGTAAAATGAAGCATTCATGCTCAAGTCACATGAAGAAGGCCTATGCAGAAAAGATGCTGCTTGTTCATTCTCCCATCACTAGCCAGTGGTCCTCAGTGGTCCTCAGGCAGATAACTACCCTTCTCGGTTTCCTCTGGCAGAAATATCACAGGACCCCAACTCTCCTACTCGCTCTTCCTTTTCCACTTGCTAAGGGGGATGAAATCCTACCAGAAGTAGGGTTCTAATCTACAGAGCTGCTCTGTCAAGGAAGTTAAGCCGCAAGTCTTATACCACAAAACATACCACCTTAATATTTTTTGAAGTTTTATATTTATGCTTGAAGGGATTTTTTGTTGTTGTTGTTTGGTTTTGTTTTTGAATTTATATATTGGTATAAATGTATGCACGTGTCCCTGGAGGCCAGAAGAGGGTATCGGATCCCCGGAGCCAGAGTTACAAGTGGTTGCAAGCCATCCAGTGTGGGTGCTAACCAACACTGGTGCTGGGAACTGAACTGCAGCCACTGGAAAGGCACCCAGCCTCTGAGCCACCTTTGTAACCCAGCATCTTTTCTGCGCCCCCCGCCCCCACATCTGTTGCATTTATTCAGTGATGCAAAAACATTTACCTTTAAAATGATTGGGAATTATTGAACCTTCCTTAACTTGAGACAAAGGGTTGAGGCAAAGATCATGAAAACAAACAACAAAAACCACTCGGGTTAAGAGTGCTTGCTGCTTTTGCAGAAAACCCAGCTTCAGTTCCCAGCACCCAACCACATGACCGCTCACTCTTCTCTTGAAGAAACAAACAAAGAAGCCTGAGACAGGGGAATTGCTTTGAGTTCAATGTCAGCCTGGGTATATAGTGAGTTCCAGCCAACCTGAGCTAAAGTATTCAAAGGCCATCTTTCCAGGAAGCCAGAAAGGGGGAGTGCAGGCTAGCAGGCGCCTTCTCACAGGTGGAGTTTTGTGATTAGAGACACATCTGATCCTAATCAGCTTGTCCCAAGATGCTTTGCACTCCTGCAAACCTGGAACAGATCACCGTTCCTAGGGTTATTCTCTCTGCTTCGTTTCCCCTTTCTGCTCGGTCCATTCCACGTGGACAGGCTGGAGGAGTGGCCGGCTGTCCAAAGAAAACAAATTCGCCTGGTTGTGGAAAGGGTCAGGTGAGGAGAGGCAGTACCCATATGAAGTCTGGCCTTGACAACTGGTACAGTAACCCCTGCGCTGGAAGGTGGTTCCGTAATGTGAGCCACAGGAGGCAAATTACTTCCTTGGTTCCTTGTTTGTTCTGGGCCTTGAGGAAAGATCATCCACTGGAGAAGGTGCCCTGCTCAAGGCACAGGAGGCTGCAGCATGGGGCGGACAATTTGTTAGTCTAGCGGCGACTTACTCCGTATTTCTTCTTCTAACAGCAATTCTCCCTTTGGTTGCACTTCCTCGCTGATGCTTCCAAATAGCCTAACAGCCAGCTGCTGCCCATAGATGTATACAGCTGCTGCCAGCAGAGGTAACAGGGCTGGCTGGATTCTGGACAGCCAGAATGTGCAACATGGAAGAAGCCAGTGGCCCCTGTCTGAGCCGTTCTGTGGAGAGAGCTGGTCCCAGCTCAAAAGGTACTTGCCCAACGTCAGGGCGCGGTGTCTTCAGGGCACTGCCTGCCTGAACATTTCTGTGGACTCTGGGGTCCTCCCTGATGCTCTTCTGCCAGTGAGGTCACAACTACTTCCCCCTGAATCATGGAAATTCATCCTGAAAATTAGATTGCTTCCAAAAAGAAGAGCACGGGCTGTGGAGCCCTGTGTAAGGGACCTGCAGCCCAGTTGGTTTTTGTCGTGGAATGCAAGCAGTCTTGTAAATGGATACCAGAGCTTGTAGAGTCTCCCTTGGCTACAGTCATTTTTACTGCAGGCCTTCTGGGCTCTGAAGGGTGGAATGAGATGGTTATCGGTACCACACTGGGTGGGTGGGTGGGTGGGGGTGACCTTTGTTTTCCTGGTGGCAGTTCTGGAGGTCAAACCCAGGGCCTTCTACATTCTGGGCTCCTACAGCTCCAACCCAGCCCGCGTGTGTTTAGGCAAAGCCAGATTCTTGAAATGAAGGGTCCCAACCCTGCCACACAGTCTGGCCTCAGCTTGCTCTCCATGGCTTCTCAATCCTGCATCTTCCATGTCTTGCAAACCAATACCAATGGATGACACTGCCAAGCTTTGCGGCCAACTTAGAATGGAGCACCCCTGTACCCCCACCCCCAGACCGCAGCTTTTCTGTGCCAACACTGGGGAAACGCCTTCCCAGGCAACTGCTCTTGAGGCTCAAAGAACCTCTTCAGCTTATTCTTTCTGCCTTTCAGAGGACTGGGATATCCACAGGATAGAACCTCCAGAGGGTGTGGTTTGCCTTCAAGACACCCCTCCTATGGCCCCAGTGCAGACTGCCAGGTTGCCCTGCAGTGGTGCTAATCTATTTAATGGTTGGGTTGTCTTTAACCCTGCTCCAGGAACAATGAATGCTTTATTCCTGAGTGTAGAT